TGAAGTTAATGCATGGTACTGTTTTAGGCTAGAACAATCTGCAAGTTGACTCTTGAATGTGAATACATCCACCAGTGAAGTTAAAAGTTGAAAGGTCATCTTTATGTATTCTTACAAGGGCTGAAGATGTTTTAATCCCAGTTTACTTTTTCAATGAACACCAATTAATCCAAGCTACATCTTGAATGTCATATGAACCGACACTGATTCAGTATGCATACCCTCCAATAATATATCTTTCATCAAACATAAATGTAGTACTATATACTTTTTGAGTTGATAGAAAAAGGATGGTTGATCAAAACATTAGCATTATTATTATTTCTTACTTTAAAACTTAAGATAATTGTTTGATAACAGTTATTTGATGCACTTCCAAGTGAAATAAGTTATACTAATATTAATTGAATAACAATATTAAATGCCAGTTTAAAATATTTGCAAGTTTACTTGGGATCTATTTGAGAAATGTATTACTTAGAATATTTATTTGCATTACTTGCATGGAATCATATATGCTGGACTATAAGTTTATGTATAAATTGAATATTTTCCAATTGCAGAAATGGCATTTTAAGTTAATAAATATCATAATGAAATGAAAAATGTTTAATAAATTACCGATAGATGGCTGCATTTAACATTATATTATTAGAACACTAAACAAGTCTTTCCCAACTCCAAAGCTTCTGCGCCCGGTAGATCTTTTGAATATTTCACCGCACCCCGGTAACATTAGTTACTTTCACAGTTTTTCTGGCTTTCTAAGAAGTTAACTCACTGAACGTTGTGACATGCGCACTTAGACCCGCCTGTCGAGAAAGGGTTATGTTTAACTGTCGCAGACAAATAAAATGGTGAAAGTTACTGATAAATTATTTTTTTAGTTTTGGTGAAATATTCGTACAACATTTCGCGCCCCTGAGGTTGGGAAACACTTATTAAATCATTAACACTGACACTGATTTAATATTTTCAGTAGAACAAGTTGAAAGCTAAAATTCCAACATCAGATTGAAAAAAGTTACTAATATATAAAGTCCTTTACTATTTTTGTTAGCATAAAAAAAGTTTAAAAAACGAAAGAAGAGCAGACTTATGAAATGAAAAACTACCGTACAATAAATGCAATGATAAGAATGGTTAGGTTTTTACTATACTGCTGTCTTTGGACCCTGTCACTTTCTTTGACTTCTATTAAATAAATCAAAACGATTTCTCTGAAAACCAACACCCGATATATATAATGGCTGGAGACGGCTTGAATGGGTAATGAAG